GTTCACCTTACTTAAAGTGGTAATTTAATATTATTATAAACCTGAATCATCCGTGGATTAAATATTTAATGATAGAACGATAAATATAATATCAACAAATCACTAGGTGTCAGTCGGTACTTCAAAATGAAATGAAATGGGGTTTAACATCCTACTGTTCTGCTCTGAACTGGGCTAATGAAGACTGGCATGCTCCATACAGTGTGCTATGAGGGAAATTTTGCCTGGACAGCGGCACTACGGCCTACTCTTATATCGAATTCCAACTGTCAAGGGACCTTTTACAGTAACATATTCAGCCAGTGGCCCCAGGCAAGCTTAATCCTACCCTGCTGCTTGTAAGAACAAAATTTATACTGGGGGGACTGTCAGCATAGTAACATGACAGGGAATTGTACCGAGGGCCTCGATTCAATAACTTTCTTCTTAAAAAAACTCATTCACTGTTTCTTTTTCACTTTAGTCTATTTGTTTAATAAAACTAATTTTCTTCTAGTTTTACTGGCTGGGCGGAACTTATTTCATTACAAATGTTTATATTATGAATTTCATCGATTACGAAGCTAATTATGTTGTGACTTCTATTTTCTTATTTTATCAGCCTCTAGATAACAAGATCTATTATTATCATATCCATCATTCTCAACAAACTTTTTAATTTTTTTCTCTAAAAAATAATTTTTGGCAGATGATATGTATATTAAACATACATTATACAAGAGTAAAATCTGCCAATTGCATGTCTTTCTTTAGGCCTGAATTGTTATCTAAATTATTAATTAGACATTAATTAACTTATCCAGACAATAATTAACTCTCGATGTCAACGCTAGCCTGCGATATTTACTGGATTATGATCCGATCTGCTGCTCAACGCTCATTGATGATTAAATAAAAAATGGATAATCGGGACTATGTTTTTATCGTATTATCATATCCATCATTCTCAACAAAATTTTTAATTTTTTTCTCTAAAAAAAAAATTTTTGGAAGACAATATGTATATTACTTGCGTGATATGTTAAAGAGTTGTAAGTCTTTAAAGTTGCAATTTCATATTTTTAAGTTATATTTTTAAAATTTATTAAAATAAAGCCTTAAAATAGATGGTATCTTTAAACAGTCCTACCTTGTTAAAGAATAATCCTATTAATCCTATAATTCACTATTGCCAGCTGAGAAATTGGCAAAAATATCATTTTCATCTTCAAATTCAAACGTTTGAAGATAACTACTCCATTGTGGAGAAGAGAAAACAAGGGAGGTAATTGGGAGGTAATTGTGTTATTATTTCCGGTGTAAATGAGTTTTAAGTGTGAGAATGACACCTAGGGTCGGATAATAGTGAGTTGACAACCTATTGAGTAAAAGACATAGAAATTATTATGTTTTGACTTTCTTAGAAAATATGAAATTGTAACTTTAACTCAATATGAAATATTACATTACAAACACAAATTATTGGTCAATTGTATTCAATAGTGATGTTGTTATCTTACTGTGAATATATTAAAGAAACAGCGAACAATTTTAAAACAAGTACACGCCTTGATGATCGAGGCTAAACTTCAGTGCATGAGATATCAAACAGTACTTTCGATGTAGACTAGACTAACCAGGCGCGACCATGGACCTTATGTAGTATAAGGTCCATGGCGCGACTGACTGTACCATCCAATTTGGACTTTTTGCGTATTTTGATAACAAAACTGATTATAAATTAAAATACAAGTTTTAAAAAATGAATATAAATAATACTGTTTCATCTATTTTCGGTTCTAAAAAATGGAGAATAAGCTGCTTTTTTGAAGAAGAAGACGTGTATATAATATTCGGATGGCCAAATGGTTAGCACATGCGCTGTGTATTATAAGGTATGACATTGAGTCAACTGGCGGGGTTCCAATTCCCCAGTTGTATGTGACAAGGAGTAGGGTCGCCTGTCCAACTTTGTGGGGTTTCTCCGGGTCCTCCGGTTTCCTCCCACTGCTAAAGACCCCTACATGCAAGCGAATTAGTTGTAGTGGTAGTTGATGGTTAGAGTCTGTTGACCCCGATCTCTCTCTCTCGCAAATTATTGAAATATAATAAAACCATATGTTAGTCCTAATTAACCTGATTACTGTTGAGTAGACTTAAACTCTATGTCCCTGACTATCTTTTCTTCTCGGAGGGCCTGACAAAGACAGCTGTCTAGTCGTTCGGATGGGATAAAAAAAAACGAGGTCCCGTGTACACATTGGCATGCACGTAAAAGATCCCTTGGCAGTTGGAATTCGGTATAAGAGTAGGCCGTAGCGCTGCTGCCCGGACAAAATTTTCCTCATAGCACACTGTATGGCGTATGCCTGTCTTCATTAGCCCAGTTTTGGAGCAGAACAGTAGGACGTTAAACCCCATTTCATTTCCTCTCTCTTCTTCGTTTGTTAAAGTGTTACCAACTGAATGATATCTTCTCTTTTTTCTAACATTAAGAAAACTAATGCAGTCTCTGTCTCTTTAAAGATTTTGTATGTTTTGTGAGTACACATTGTTTCTTATGTAGGATACAGAAATAGATTCTATCTATATTACATGTACTATACAGTTGGACTAAAAACGATTTAACAACCTACACATTTACACATTTACACAACAACCTTCGTATACAATTTAATGGTACTCGCATCAAATTCTCTGTTCTGTAAAGTCAATGATCTCATTTCTATTTTTGGGTCAATCTGATTATTTAACGTTAAACATACATTATGCAAGAGTTTAATCTGTCTATTGCAGGTCTTTCTTTAGGCCTGAAATGTTATCTAAATTATTAATTAGACATTAATTAACTTATCCAGACCATAATCCGATTTACTGCATAACCTTCCTTCACGATTTAACGATTAAATGGATAATCGAGACTATGCTGTTTATCGTACTGACTTTAGTAATGATGACCAAGGCTAGGGGGAAATTTCACTTGCTTTGTTCTCGGTTCATAGTGGATCAATTTGAATGAAATTTTCAACAAATTGCCTTTACATTATCTAGTTTTTAACTATTATAGTGAGAACTGCCAACTCGTTATTGAATCTCCCATAATGTATCTTTAATTAGACATTAATTAACCTATCCAGACCATAATCAACTCTAGATGGCATCGCTAGCCTGCGATGTTTAGTGGATTGTGAGCCGATTTACTGCATAACTTTCCTTCTCGATTAAACGATTAAATGGATAATCAAGACTATGCTGTTTATCGTACTGACTTTAGTAATGATGACCAAGGCTAGGGAGAAATTTCAGTCGCTTAGTTCTCGGTTCATAGTGGATCAATTTGAATGAAATTTTCAGCAAATTGCCGTTACATTATCTAGTATTTAACTATTATAGTGAGAACTACCAACTCGTTACCGAATCTCCCATGTTGGAAATGTTGGAAAACAAAATCAAATATATGTCAATTTGATTAAATAGAGGCCTATCAAAAGATTTCAGCGAAAGTTATAGGTGGCATTGGCCTGTTTTGATCATATTGTCTGCAGTGTGGAGGCCAAATTCTGTGTTCAGTAAAGTCGATAATCGTCTTTTCCATTTTTTTGGTCAATCTAACTCTTCTACTCAAAACAATTACTTAACAATAAATTTTAGAAAACAAAAACAAAATGTGAAATAGATTAAATAGAGGCCCATCAAAATATTTCAGCGAAAATTATTGGTGGCATTGGACTGTTTTTATCATATTGTCCGCAGTGTGGAGGCTGAATGTTTAACAAATATTCAATTCATTGTATCTAGGTAAATACTGACAGGAGTTGAACTATGTTGAGATGATATCTAACTCTGTCAACACAAATTAGCTTATTTTAGGACTAACATATGATATATAATTTTATTTTAATAACTGCTGGAATATAGATAGAGGTTAATTCCATGTGGTTAGGACTACTACACAGCCTCTAAATCCACTTTAGTTCATCTTTACCACTTGTTTGTTGTGACAGAGAGAGAAAGAGAGAGAGAGAGATGGGGTTTAACGTCCACTTGAAACAAACTAGGTCATTTTGGGACTAACATATGGTTCAGTTTTATTTCCATAATTCGCTTGCGTGTAGGGGTCTTTAGCAGTGGGAGGCAACCAGAGGACTCGGAGAAAACCCATGAGGTTGGACAGGCGACCCTACTCCTTGTAACGTACAACCAGGGAATTGAAACCACGCCAGTTGACTCAATGACAGACTTTATGATACTGCGCGCACATGCTAACCATTCGGCCATCCACCCCCACCCCCCACACACCCTTTATTGTGACAGACTTTATGATACAGCACGCACCATTCGGCCATCCAACCCCCTTTTGTTGTGACAGACTTTATGATACAGCACGCACGTGCTAACCATTCGGCCATCCAACCCCCCTTTGTTGTGACAGATTATTTCAGCAATTGATAGATTAAAAGGGGCTGGAAGAAGTAATTTTGATGGTGAATGTCTTCGTTCAGGGCTTTCACTTCAATACTTTACCAACTTGTCAGTTTTTTGTATACCTCAGATAAGCAACATATTTTTTCTAAGGAATACAACAGATTTTTTGGCATTTTCTTTTTTATATATATTTTTGTCAATATGATTAAAATACAGATCTATATTTTTCGTTCCGTTTTTTATACATTCGATGGCCTACACTACACGAAGATCTGACTGGTTGTTGCGATAGGTCACGTCAGAGGTCATACGAGCAGTTTTTGACCCTATGACATCAGACATTTGAATAACCAATCAGCATTGATGTTACTAGTGGATAACCCACAGTTCCGTGCAACACACGCCTAAAGCTCGCCGTAACAGACTGTTTCATTGGCTAATACCTCACACTATTCAGAACACGTCAATGATAACAACTCTTCAAAATCCTAGTGTAGTAAAGACAAGTAAAAGGAAATTTTGAACTATAAAAACGACACAAAAAAGGATCTGTATTTTAATCAGATTGTGTTTTTGTGTGTTTTCACAAAAAAAGATTATTATTGTTCGATTTATATAGCTCTTCATTACACATGAGTGTTTCTAAGCGCATTCACAACAAAACAGTTCAAAAACATTTTTAAAATAAATATGTTTTTAAGTTAGCCTTAAAGCTCTGGATGGAAGAGGAGTCTCGAAGAGTTTTTGGATGATCATTCCACATTTTAGCTGCTCTGATGGAGAAAGCATATTCACTAGAACGTTTACTATTTTAAGGAATTCTCAATAACCTATGATCACTTAAAGAACAAAGGTTGGATCGCCGGGGGTATAGAAATCAAAGAGTTCATAAATTTTAAGGTTAAATTCTTTGCACGTAAATTGACTGACTAGTAAGTTCTCGGGCTGGTTATATTCACGACCTGTCAGTCACAACAGGTAATTATGACTGAAACAAATACCCTGGTTAACTTAAACAACTAGTTGGAAAATAGAACCCCTTGGATGTCCAATCACTGAAATTTGTGTAGAACTTGGGTTGTGTTTTAATATAAAAAATTTAGCCAAGTGTCGGGATTTTGTTTTCAAACTAAATATAAATAAAAAAACAACAACAACACGATGAATATTAACAAATAAATTATAAAATACAGTTGTACAATAATCACAAGAAACAGACAATAAATAAAATATGACACGATTTACATCAATCAGATTAAAAACATCATATCAATTAGAGGATCAATCATTGATTGATTGATTGATTGATTACTCCCTTAAAATAAATAAATAGATTAGAGAGGGCATCAATTGGTGATTGATTACTCCCCTACCAAATGTATCAATTAAAGTATCAATCATTGATTGATTACTCTCCTAAAACAAATATTTTGATTATAGAGGGCATCAATCAGTGATTGATTATTCCCCTACCCATCATATCAATTAGAGGATCAATCATTGATTTATTGATTACACCCTAATACAAAAATATTGATTACAGAGATGAATGATTGATCACTCCCCTTACCATCTGACCTGTAGCTAGCTAGCCCCCTGGGTGCCAAACAAACCCAACGGCCAACGTGCCCATATCAGTATGAGGGCCACATAGAGTCGAGTGAAATTGGTTGGGCTGCAACCCCTTGCCCCCGCTAGCTACATTTCTGCCCATTGTATCGATCAGAGAGGGATCAATCAGTGATTTGATTAGAGAGTCGATCAATTATTGATACTCCCCCTAAAATAAAAATATTCACAAACAACAGAAATACTGCACATGAATACACAGATATTCGTTAACAAAAAGTCCCTAACGATATTGCTTCAAATCCTACGATATTATGACAACGTATATGTAGGTTTAGTAATTATATTGTGATCATATCAGCCATGTCGGATATAAACATTGTCAATAATGTAGCAGAATATATATTTAAGGCTAATATCATAAGAACTAGTTATCTGTTGTAATATAATTATGTTTTATATAGTTGATATATTTTATTAAACTGCACTACTGTGTACTATGGGCCCGAGGCCTTAAATACTGAATAAAGATTTGATTGATTGATAGGTTTACAAGTTGTCGTCTTAACAATATTGCTCACATCAAGTTACAGGTTTAAGTTAGAAAATAAACAGTTCATGGAACCACTGAACTAATCCAATTCTCAATTTTAGGTAGGCCTAATTGAAACTATGAAAGATGAATTGGGTAAATTCTTTAATATTGGCGACAAATTAAAAATGGAGCAACAAAAATGGAATCTCATGCAAAATCGGGTCCTATTCAAGAAAACTTGATCAAAAATATATGAAGAATGCAGCCTAGAATTTCATTGCCCAAAAGCTATTATTGTATTATGATTTTCGTGCTCAACCAATGAACAATCATTATTCTTAAATTATTTCAGTCTAATTTCTTATAAATCGGGCCCCAGTGAATGTCCACTTTTAATGTAAAAATGGAACAAACGAAGACCTGTGCCCTTTTTCAGATTTGGAGTATGTAGGAAAACAAACAAATTTATAAAAAATACAATGAAGATATTGTATGGGGATTGGGGGAGGAGGAGAGGGGTGTGTATTTTGATAAAGACTATAAGACAATGGAGATATTGTATGGCGGGAGGGGGGGGTATATTTTGATAAAGACTATAAAACAAGTGAGATATTTGTATGGGGGGAGTTATTTTGATAAAGACTATAAATCTAGAAATATTTAAACCAATATATATATACAGCATTCCTAATAGTATACTCTATTGCATAAATATACACACTAATCATAGGGTTTCCCCGTTTACTGAAAAGGGCTATAGGTTTCCATCCCTGCTGCTACATCTGGTAACATATACATGAAGATATACTATAGGTCTCCATCCATGCTCCTACATCAGGCGCGGATCCAGTTGTGGGGGGTGGGGTGCACCCTATTTGTTGCGTTGGCGAACAATTTTTTACCCCATATATTCTCGCGGGAAAGGAATTAACAGTCAGTTTAGGTTGGAAATCGTAATTTACTCCGAAAACTAGTGGGTTGGTGACTTGGTTGATTGCCCATCAGTCCGCCCACCGAGGGCCGGGCTTCGCACTCCCAAGTTGGGGCAGCACGCCCCCCCCCCCTTTCTGAAAATCCTGGATCCACCCCTGTACATCGAGTAACATATACATGCTGATATACTATATAAAACTAATAAATACAAATATATAATCAAAGATGAACAATTGGGAATCGAAATGAAGTGGAAAAAAATACATCAAACTACAGATGAAATAATCAAGCACAACTTTCAAACTAACACAGACACATGTATTAACCAGGGAAGCTGTTTCGCCCATATATACCGGACATGTCCTATATGGATTGACAAATGTCCAATTAAGAAATGAAGAATATATGCAATTGGACATTGAGATATCACCGGTGAATCATATTGAAAATTCACTCCAAATATAAAGATTGACAAATGTCCAATTAAGAATATATGCAATTTGACATTGAGATCTCACCAGTGTATCATATTGAAAATTCACCCCAAATATTGACCATACTGAGGTTTTAACTAATCTCGATTGTTGTTGATTGATTAACTAACAGTGAGGAACCCTTTTATATGTTTTATCAACTACCTAATCTGTCTTGATTGATTTCCCTAATCTGCATGATTTCCTTTATATCATTAACCATTATATCCAAAAGGATAATAATAATAATAATAATGAGTCTTGTATTGCACTAAAATCCAAATCCACAAAAGGGGTTTGAAGAGACAGGTGTTGAGGTTTGATTTAAACAAACTTCATGTTTTAGCACTTTTGACAGAATTCAGTAATGATTCATCTTGTCTGTCCAGCGAATTTTTTAACCTCCATTTCTTGTTTCACAAATTAGGCAAACTTTTCTGTAGTACTACTTAGTGAAAGGGGTCTTCTATTATTAGGAGGGGGGTGACATTTTTTATTATCAATATCTGATCAATTATTACTTTTGATCCATATTAGTTTGTCAGATGTCGCTGCACCTCTCTCGAGTCCCTGTCCAATATAAATATTATACCAGTAATACAAAGTCTCCAATTTTTTTGAATAATAGAATCATTCGCACTTGGCGGCATACAGGTGTTTATATATACATATGTTCAGTGTTTGAAAGATCAGCTTGATTATTCTACCTGTAAATACCTGACAGGTGTATAATACCATACCTGGTAATTCTATATAAAACATTAAATACAACAAAGCATATAATGATAAACAACATAATACTATAATTAAACATACTGAACAGCCCATAGTTACTATATCTCTACAGTATACAGTCCACAGTTACTGTACCTCATACAGTATATCGCACAGAATTTATACCATATAACTATATCTCAGTTTCTATATCTCTAAGTGTATATACCATAGTTACCATATCTCTAAGAGTATATATATACCATATCTCTAAGATTATATATACCATAGTTACTATATCTCTAAGTGTATATACCATAGTTACTATATCTCTAAGAGTATATACCATCGTTACAATATCTCTAAGAGTATATATATACCATATCTCTAAGATTATATATACCATAGTTACTATATCTCTAAGTGTATATACCATAGTTACTATATCTCTAAGAGTATATACCATAGTTACTATATCTCTAAGAGTATATACCATAGTTACTATATCTCTAGGAGTATAGTTACTATATCTCTAAGAGTATCAATTTCTGTAATGGTGATCAGAGACTTTAAGGATACTGTACATACACATGGGATAGTAAATTCATGTGCTTATTACCTGTTTAAACTATTGGACATGCAAGCTGTGAGATAGATCTGGACTGTCCAACGATAAAATGCCACAAAACTATATTTAATTTTTACATACATAACTAAAAAACGTTTCCATATCTTTTGTTTTGTTAATAACAAAATTAAAGTTTAAATAAAATATTTTGTAGAAATGTGCATATTACAATAAGCTCTTAAAAAATTAAGAGCTAGAATCGATAAAATAAAGTTTTGTGACTTCAAAGAAAAAAATTGACAACAAAAATTGTCAGAAATATTTAACATTGAGAGTGAAAAATATACAAGAAAAACAAACAACAAGCAAACGGGTGATATTCCATAAAACATCTGACAATAACCAGAGCAATTAAATACTTCTAAGTTATTTTAATTTCGAATAAATTTCAGATGTGCTTTTAACCGAGGCATTCAGCTACACCTTAACAAATCCTGGAAGTATTCAATACTCTGATCTGATTTCATAAAACAATAATATATTTTACTAAACATAAAAAAACCTCAACAACATCCATATAAAATATGGAACCTTTCTTCATAAAACAACCTTGTGGGTTAAAATTAACAATTATCATTTTCAGCGCGCCCCACCCTGCCAGTTACCCTTGTTAGGCCTATAACAACATTTAATCATTTCCATATCACAGGTCTTGCTTAATTAACTTTGCTGTTCAACCACCCCACCAACCAAATATTCTACAACACAGTTTACATTCATTAAAGAGCCATTAGACAAGAGTGACTGCCAATAACAGATCTTTTTTCTGGTTCCAAAACTTCAGAATAAAGTAACTTGACAGAAATTTTTATTCACAAAACAAGCTTATTTTAAACTTTAATAGCAAGAATGACCAGATCTTAACTATCTAAATTTCGAATAATGTATCTTTAAACAACCGAATTTGAGTCTTAAGAACAGTTTTTGATCTTAATTAATAATCTTAAGAGTTTTTGATCTATATCTATGTAAATTTCAACATATCAAAATAATTTTAAATATCAATATTATTATATCTAATGATTTTAGAAACATTAGTTTCACATTATAATCTTCACGTTATGTCCAACAGAGGATTTTGTGGAGTATTTCATTGAAGTTGAAGCCGTAAGTGACAACATGAAAATATTGAAATAATGCGAGAGTCATTGACATGGTGTGAATTTTCACCTCTGACCTATTACATAAATACCAAAAGATCCTTTGTTGAAACGTATGTTTTTTATTTGATAATTAGCAAATATAACATTCCTTTTCATTGGGTGTTTTATTTTTATTACTCAATCACCATTAATTTAAGAAATAAAAACCATAATCAGTTGATTGATCTGGCGCTTTTGTCGCTAATGCCGTTCCCAAGTATGATAAGTCAGCGAGTTGATTCGCTACCGCCAAATGACAGGTGCAAACTGATTCGCACTCGTCAAAAATGGCTTAACTTAATAAATGACCATAACTCAAGTTAGAATTGAATCACAATTGTTTTAGTTACACTTACTGATCTTTCTTCGGTTAAATCAAATTTAAACTTATTTTGGTTGTGCAAAGGTCTTAAATGGCCATAAATTAAGTTATAATTGAACATAAATGTTTTTTAATTAAAGTAATTTTGATTGTCTAACGGTCTTACTTTAAGAAATTTTTTAATCTGTCATGTTGCGACTTTTAAAAGTCACCCCCCAAAATATTCTCAGGATGTAATGCAATTCCAATAATTCACAAGTACATCTTCGATACTTTGGGGTTTTTTTTCTGAATGATCATGTCTGTGAATATTTGGTCAGTTAATAATAATAAAAATAGTATGTCCATTTATATAGCGTCGAATCGACTAAACATGCTCATAGTGCAAACAAGGCTTATACAAAATCATATCTTTTCCAACAAAAAAACCCAACCCAAAACATAAAATTTCTTTTAAAAACAAGTACCAAATGAACCAGGAATCAACTAATATGGTATCTGATGTCATTGCAGCCATCTTGGAATAGTGACATCATGTCAAACATCGAAATCTGTGAATGGACGTGTAATTGTCAAAAGAACACGCATGCCAAGTTTAAAGTCGATTCTACACAAATTGGATGAGCCTTAATTAGGCATTTATTTTTTCCAAAGGTCGCCCCTCATAACAATAAGATTACCAAGTGTTAAAAAACAAAAATCATCAATCGATGCAAAATTGTCAATCAAGCTTGCCATGTTTCAAGTATATCATACTTGGCGGAGGCTTAGGCTTTTTTGAAGAGTGTTACGTCACCCGAGGAACAACAGCATCAAAACGATAACGTGGTTCCTGGTTCACAAACAAACATTTATCGTGAAAAAAATCAATGAAATAGAAATATAATAAAAACAAATTACCAATAATTACAGTAATAACAAAACTACAAAAACAAATTACGATCATAAAAGTTTGAGCTGTCAAAACAATTTAACATCTGAATTAATGTCTCTCGCTTGTACAATTATATTATCAACTTCCGAGATTTTTAAATTTCAAACTTCAAGAAAATAAATAAATAATGGAAATAACATATTTTAGGGTACACGGCTACTGTCCCTTTAATGTAGGCTGTTCTTATAAATGATCTTGCACCCCTTTTTTAATTTAATATAGGCTGTTCTTATAAATGATCTTGCACCCCTTTTTTAATTTAATATAGGCTGTTCTTATAAATGATCTTGCACCCCTTTTTTAACAACTGTTCTTATAAATGATTTTTGCTACCCTTTTTGTTGTTGTTGAATATTTTTAATGGTTGTCATTAGTAGTCGGTATTGCAGGGCAAGGATTGGATGATTAATAAAACGGAGGGAGGTAAAAGTATTCTCCGTTAAAATGGATGATGGATCTGCTCATTGCGGACATTAAAATGAGTCAATATAGCGGGCAAATGATGATCTAATGCAAATCGTAAAGACATTATGGATTGCACACGCTTAATGACACCGTATGACCTAGAGATTAGTTCAAGATGATCGACCAATCATAAACGACTTTCAATGATATCAACCAATCAAGTAACTTCAAACAAATGTTCCATGACTGAAAGCAGCCAATCAGACAGCTTGGCAGTATTTTTTGCCACCAGCTTTAAAAATATTTTAACCTGACCAATATCTTGCTTACAAGCAGACTTCAAAATATATTATCAAATGCAGACGGAGATGTCTTTTTGCCGGGACTTGTCAACTTATAATACTCTTTAAAATCGTGGCCCAGTCCAGGTGTGTTTGACTTAACCCCTAAAAGACAAAATGGAAAATAAAATAATTTTATGGTATTAAAATGGTTTTAAAATGGTTTACCAAAGGGTATGATTGTACTAAATAAACAAAAATTCCTAAATTTTAAAAAAAATACCGAAAAATTCAGAAAAAAAATACCGAAAAGGGTACGACTGTACTAAATAAAAAAAAAATTCCTAAATTTTTTAAAAAAATACCGAAAAATTCAGAAAAAAAAGTACCGAAAAGAGTACGGTTTTACTGAATAAAAAAAAAATACTGAAAAATTCAGAAAAAAAAGTACCGAAAATTTCCGAAGAAAGACAGAAAACAAATGTTGACAGTAATTATCGAAAAATCTGAAAAAGGGTATGTTTCAGTGGATTTTTACTGCTTGTTGTATTTTTTTGGAATTTTTCAGTATTTAGGACAGCGAAGGGTACGATGGTTGAGAATTGAAAGAACGGCAGCATTCCACAAATTTAAAGATGCTAGTTAAACAAATACATGATAATGTTAATCATCGTTAGTTCTCTAAAGCAAATCAAAAACAGACAGTTATTATTATACTAAAAATATCATTGTTAGTCCTATTCACTAAATAACGAAAACAAATTTAAAATCATTTGGATTAAAACCCTTTTGTTCAACAGAATCAACTCACTACCTAATCCATGTTCCTGAAGCAACGACTTCGAGTTTTACAACAACTTGATGTTGCTAGATTACTTTACAATTTCCGAACTTATAGCTACGTTAGCTGCAGACACGTGAACAGTAGCGTCCAATCAGAGGTTGTGACATAGCGACCTCCACAAAAACCTTGACATTGAACAAACCTTGAACTTTTCAACTTGATTATCACAGGTAGACATATTTGCCGGAAAACGTGAGACTTGGTATTTGCAATGATCGAGGAATCTGATAGGCTGTCAAGCTGGGTAAATACCCAATAGAAATTATTGCCGAAATAGGCAGGGTATTACGTGAAGGCCTTGATAAGATGTACGTAGTTAAAGCAAAATCAAGACTTCTATTGAAGATATACCTAATCTAGTTGTCCCTATTATCATGTTTTCTTTGTATATAGTTTATTACTACCCAATCCTTATTGCGTTTCATCCCCCGTTGATGGTTTTTAATGATTATCTCTCATTGTATATTAATGTTTTTCTTTGTATATAGTTTATTACTACCCAACCCTTATTGCGTTTCATCCCCCGTTGATGGTTTTTAATGATTATCTCTCATTGTATATTAATGTTTTTCTTTGTTTCATATTTTGTATATATATATCTTCACTGTACTATGGTTGTCATTCTTCGCTTGATAATGACGAGAGATATCTTTACTGTACTACGGTTGTCATTCTTCGCTTGATAACGACGAGAGATATCTTCACTGTACTTCGGTTGTCATTCTTCGCTTGATAACGACGAGAGATATCTTCACTGTACTTCGGTTGTCATTCTTCGCTTGATAACGACGAGAGATATCTTCACTGTACTACGGTTGTCATTCTTCGCTTGATAACGACGAGAGATATCTTCACTGTACTTCGGTTGTCATTCTTCGCTTGATAACGACGAGAGATATCTTCACTGTACTTCGGTTGTCATTCTTCGCTTGATAACGACAAGAGATATCTTCACTGTACTTCGGTTGTCATTCTTCGCTTGATAACGACGAGAGATATCTTCACTGTACTTCGGTTGTCATTCTTCGCTTGATAACCACGAGAGATATCTTCACTGTACTTCGGTTGTCATTCTTCGCTTGATAACGACGAGAGATATCTTCACTGTACTACGGTTGTCATTCTTCGCTTGATAACGACGAGAGATATCTTCACTGTACTACGGTTGTCATTCTTCGCTTGATAACGACGAGAGATATCTTCACTGTACTTCGGTTGTCAACGTCAACTTTATGGATATCTCTTCCTGAGCGTGTTCGACTTTCTCCATAATCTGGGTGGTGCAGAAAAATAGGAAGTTAGACCATGTTACCATTTGAACAGCCCCGGGGAAGAACGATCTAAGTCACTTTTTTAACGAACCCCAGTTAATGGCGCCATCTGGTAGCAAATTGTATAAGCTTTCTATGGAACAATCAATTTCTGGTAAAAACGATCGGAGTCACATTGAACCATGGCCCTTCTGAAATGACCTCCGGGACAAATACGTCCATTGTACCCTTTATTTGACCTTAATTTGGCTGAAAAGTGGAAGTCAGCTGTTGTACTGGTAATCATGATTCGTATTAAACATCATTTTGAAGTTGTAATTAAACCCACTCGTTGTTCTGTTCGTTCAAGCATTCTCGTCCAAAAGTCTGTTTTGCCTTTAAGATCGTTCTTCCCCTGGACTCTTTATTTACCTCTACACATGGAGATTTTTGTGGTGTTAATATTTCTATCTAGATCAGTCGTTTGTAATCTCTAACGTATTTAAAACATCAGACTGTGTTTATAATAAATCACCTGTTCTTACGTCAAGCTCCACTCCATCTGCCTTTAAACAACTGTAAACAAATACCCATTCTTATAGAATAAACTTCTAAACTATCCTCTCTTATGTTCCTTATTAAAGTCCAATGTTGTTAAAATCATACTGTTTAAACATGGTTTAAAACAACTGCTTTAATATCATTCAAGATTCGTAGATGGTATATCGATCGGTACCCGCAGAGTTATTGTGGAGATTGGCCACCACAGTCGGTTTACATATTCATTATTTCAGATTGCTTGACAGCTGTCAACAAGGGTTAAGGGTGTGGTATGCTTCTTAATTTCTGCCAAATTAATACATTAGTATCTATATCCTGAGGGCCAATTATAAGCTCAGCCCCTTTTCTGTATAATGAGGGCAACAATATAACATTTACTTTTAATCTAGACTTGATCAGTAATGTTCGTCCAGGAAAAATAGCACCACAGCTTTCAATCCAAAGTTTTATACATTTGAAGTTCTTTCACACATAAAAACTATAAATAAATAACTGGTCAATGTAACAAACAAGAGCCATGGTCTCCACATGGATTCTGTTAAAATTCAACCAATAGAATAATTTTGACCAGATCTCAATGATAAAAACCCACCACATCACCACGAAAGTTACAGTCCTTATTGTGGAATAATAAAAGTGACAGAGAGAGAGAGATAGATGGGGTTTAACGTCCACTCGACACATACTAGGTCATTTCAGGACTAACTTAATATGGTCTTTAGCAGTGGGAGAAAACCAAAGGACTTGGAGAAAACCCACGAGGTTGGACAGGCAACTCAATGACAGGCCTTATGATACTACGCACAAGTGATAACCACTCGGCCATCCATCCAAAAGGAAATTGTGTCCATAAGCTGATCTCAGTGATAAAAACCTTTACACAATGCAACTTACAGTCATTAATGATAAATATTACGAAGTAATAGCTTTTGTGATAGGGCTGTTCTTTCCTCCGTGACTACCATTTACAGGCACTTCCATTTCTTTTCTCCTTTTCCCGCCACTTGTACAGCACTTCTGTTTCCTCCCTCTTTGTCTCGCCACTAAGCTTCGCAGAGAATTTCTTCGGAGCGCAAAATTTAACGGTTAAGTTAAGCTCACCACCTCCCCTTTTTTCCACCCGCACTCTGTAATTTGGTTTCAGACTTATTATTTCCATTTGCGGGCTTACAGTCATTAATAATAATAATAATGAATATTTATATATGCTTATGGTGCAGGTTTATTTAGGTCTTCAGTTTTATAGTTCACTATTCATTATAAGTCCAAGCATTCAGAAAGCATTGAGTCGAGATATTCTGTGGGTGATTATTGTGATAGAGTAAGTTTTGTAATATTTTGTACATGAAGGGTGCTATAAGTCCAAATATTCTGAAAGCATTGAGCCGAGATATTCTGTGGGTGATTGCTGTGATATTGTAAGTTTTGTGATAATTTATACATGGCGGGTACTGTAAGTCCAAGCGTAATGGTAAAAATGAGAAAGGAATGTGCTATAAGTCCAAGCGTAATGGTAAAAGTGAAAAAAGGATGTGGCTACTTGTTTAAATGGAGTGTAATAAAAATGTTTATAATAAAAATAATGATGGAATCCAGTAACAAACATACCTGGTGTTTAAATTCTACAGACAAGACTGAAGAGGACGAGGTTAAACTATTAACGCAACATGCTCTCACGTAAATAAATAAAATATTTCTATTTCGTTACTTGGTTTGAGCATAGGAGAGAGAGAGAGAGAGAGAGAGAGAGAAATGGGGTTTAACGTCCACTCGACACAAACTAGATCATTTCGGGACTAACATATCGTTCAAATTTATTTCAAGAATTCGCTTGCGCGTAGGAGTCTTTGGCAGTGCGAGGAAACCTGAAATGGATGCCTGGCACCCCTACTACCTGAAATGGATGCCTGGCACCATCAACTGCCACACCACTCATTAATGTTGTCCAGAGAGCGTTTTTAGAGGTTAAACTAATTCTAGGGTACTGTTTGTAAGTCATTCAATAGTGAAGATTGTTGTTAATCGGCCAACTTTTGTGTCATTTCATCTTCTAGAAAGATGCAGTACTAATCCACAATGTAACCGGTTTTAGACACACGATTACTCACTTCCATTAAAGGCCCAAATTGTTAATGTATATCACTTACAATCGTCTAAAATATGTTTAACACAAACATTCATAAAGAATAGGCTGTGGGATATTTTAAATTTCATCAAAATAGGACAACATTGTGACCTTTAAGAGTGTCCACACCTGAAAGGATGTTCCGAAGGACGGACAGGGACCTTTTCATATTGTGTATTGTCTATTCTTAACCTTTAGTGTGGCTATCAGGACTATAAAATCTAATTTTAACCTTTATTGTGGTTATATAAGGACCATATAATCTATTCTGGCATGTTAGGGCTTTGAAATCTATTTGTAACCAGTATTCTGGCATGTTAGGGCTTTAAAATCTATTTTAACATGTATTCTGGCATGTTAGGGCTTTAAAATACATTTTTCACCTGAATTCTGGTATGTAGGCATTAAAATCTATTTTTGACCTGTATTCTGGCATGTTTGGGCATTAAAATGTATCTTTAACATGTATTTTGGCATGTTAGGGCTTTAAGACTGTGTTAGTGAAAAAGATGAAGATGATTAATATTCATTCCTCCAAAAAAACACCCACACACACAAAAACTTGTAACTACACATAAAATATACAACACTACAACAAAAATACTTCTTTAAAATGAACATCAATTCTCGAAGTTTGAAAAATGTCCATATATTAGGGACAAAAGAATGTTTTTAACATAAAAATTATGCATGCAAACATATTTTATAAGAGACATCTTTAAACGTTAACCCTTTAGCTTTTTGACGGACTGAAACCACCAGATACTACAGATACTCCTGTAACATTTAAACGATCCCTTGGCAGTTGGAATTTGATATAACAGAAGGGTATAAAATTTCCCTCATAGCACACTGTATGATGCATGCTTATCTTCATTAGCCCAGCCAGAACAGAGAGAGAGAAATGGGTTTTAACGTCCACTCGACACAAACTAGGTCATTTCGGGACTAACATATGGTTTAATTTTATTTACATAATTCGCTTGCACGTAGGGGTCTTTAGCAGTGGGAGGAAACCGGAGGACCCGGAGAAAACCCACGAGGTTGGACAGGCGACCCTACTCCTTGCCACGTACAACCGGGGATTCGAAACCACGCCAGTCGACTCAATGACAGACTTTATGATACAGCGCGCGCACACTAACCATTCAGCCATCCAACCCCCCCAGTCAGAACAGAACAGTAGGGTGTTAAACCCTATTTGATTTCATTTTCATGAATAACATTAAAGTATCTAAGGACTGAAATGAAATGGGATTAATCGTCCTACTGTTCTGCTCCGACTGGGCTAATGAAGATTGGTTATTTCAGTGAACATGTGTTGTCAATAGTTACATGCACCAAACGCTAAAGGGTTAACCATACAGGAACAGATTGATTTGAGCAAAAAGTGTGGGCGAAAAAATTAAATAAATAACGGTATATTTTGCCATTTTCAGTATCATTTTTATCAATATGCTTCATAGGTTACGTTTCAGAAATATTCCAAATCGTGTATGAAAAGTCTGCACAATTATCATTCACTTTCACCTAGTCTTGATCATGTAAGTCATTTTGATAAGACTTTCGTGGCTATTCATTCATCAACACCCCAAAGAACTAAACTACTTTGGCCTAATTAACCATTAAAACATGCATAAAAAAACTTGTCAAATTAAATCTGTGCCTTAGAATAATTCTAAGAATAATTTCAAAGCGACTATCTACGACCAGAATTTAAAAAATGCTATTAAAGCTAAAAGGAGTAAAGCATGAAAAGGAACTATCTTCCTGGGAGGAAAAACAGAATTTTAAGAATTTAATCTAAAATGGATTCAGACTACTGTTCTTATTTCCATCTCGACTCATTTCATTTTTGTCGAGTTAGCAGTCCTACCTGAAGACGAGGGACTAGACCCCTTTGAGTTGTTACCGCTGCTATCTCCGTGACGATGATGGCCGCTACATTTTGGATCGTTAGGACTTATTGAGGAGCTTGAAGCCGTACTGGACTTACTTGAAGATTTAGGAAGATCCGCCGCACACTTCAACAAACTATAAACAGGATCCACAACTTTCACTGAAAAACAAAAACAAACAAAAACATTAAAGGAGTAGTCCTAATAGAGAGAGAAATTAGGTTTAACGTCTACTCGACACAAATTAAGTCCTTTTGGAACTAACATGGGGTTCAATTTTAATACAACAATTCACTTGCGCGTAGGGGTATTTAGTAGTGGGAGGAAACCGGAGGACCCGGAAAAACCCACAAGGTTGGACAGGTGACCGTATTCCTTGTCACATAAAACTGGGGAATATGAGCAGAAGGACTAAAATGACGTCATTGATTGCTTATTTACGGAAAGTTACCACTACCCACGGAGAACGGCGGAAATTACTAATGTTGAAATTTACCTGTTGCAGGTAATATTGACATTTGGGTTCGGGTTATACTTATGGAAAGGATATGTTGACATAATTACTTGCATTATTTTAAAAAAAAAAATGATGCTTTTCCGGTGACCTTTAATGTTTAGTTTCAAACCGTTGAGAATCATAGAAAACAATTGAGTTTCTACTGTCGCATTGAGTGTAATTAAACCCAAAAAGTAAACCCATTATCTAATCTGCACAGACCATATCCTGAATGTGCTGAAGAATCTTCATGAATACAGGCTCAAGAAGGGTTACACCTGCTGTGATAACCTGAACATTGAAACAACCCTTTCAGTTTTCCAGTGACCCCCAACCCCACCACCATTTACAATATTCTTGAAAATAAATGAAATGAAATGAAATGGGGTTTAACGTCCTACTATTCTGCTCCTATGCTGGGCTAATGAAGATGGGCATACACCATACACCATACTACTCTTATATCAAATTCCAACTGCCAAGGGATCTTTTACGTGCATTCCAATATATACACGGGACCTTGGTTTTTCATCTCATCCGAAGGACTAGACAGCTGTCCTTGTCAGTCCCTCCGTCCTGCATCACTGACAAGGGGGAACCACGTCGGAAAATCTGGATGAACTTTCTCGGCCAATACAGGGATCCGACACCCGACCTAGCGAGCCATCATCAGTACCCACTTAGCCACGTGATCCCCCTTCTTGAAAATAGCACTAGACTTTTCTGTACTGTGCTGATAAACACCCCCCAAGTATTCCTGAATATAGCTCTGGACTGTTAAATACCCCCATGTTAGCATTCCTGAAAATAGCTCTGGATTAATGTGCTTTTAAATACCCTCTGTTAATATCCCTGAATATAGCTCTGGATTGATGTGCTGTTAAGTACCCCCCAATATTAGTATTCCTGAATATAGCTCTGGATTAATGTGCTTTTAAATATCCTGATTTTAATATTCCTGAATATAGCTCTGGACATTTCTGCGATCCTGTTACTGATAAATATTGTAACTGCACATTGTAGATTTATTAACCGACTGTTTTAAACAATCTGACAAAAGACAGAGCGTGGCATGATTCCAACTTGTTACATTGTAGGTAAAATAGTAACACCTGCCTCATAAAAACACGGAAATACGAGATGGTTGTTAACATTAAAACTATCAACACTGACGTCACAACATTTTACTTATGTCCTTAAAACTTTTTCTTTGGTGCATTTTACTAGCAGTAATTACCTCAAACTAGTGCAAACATGTCAAATATTAAATTGTTGGTAAATATGAGAGAGAAAGGCAGCGTTTAACATTAAATCAACAATAATTAGCTCATTTTGAGATGGAACATATGGTTTAATATCATTTCAATAATTTGCCTAGATATTAGGGTTTTTAGCAGTGGGTGGTTGGATAGCCGAATAGTTAGCGTGTGCGCGCTGTATCATAAGGTCTGTCATTGAGTCAACTGGCGTGGTTTTGTTTCCCCGGTTGTACCTGACACAAGGAGCAGGGTTGCCTGTCCAACCTCGTGAGTTTTCTCCAGATCTTCCAGTTTCCTCCCACTGCGCAAGCAAATTATAGAAATGAACTTGAATCATATGATAGTCCCAAAATGACCTAATTTGTGTCAGTGAATGTTAAACCACATTTTTCTCTCTCTCTCTCTTGCCTAGACATTAAGTGGGAGGAATCCGAAAGACGTGGAGTAAAACCACCACATTTAAGCAGGCTGAGATCCAAAGGCTGAGACTCAATATTGGGTGTTCCAGTACAGCTATTAGACATCGACAGTTCTTGCCGGGTTAATTAATGTCCTATATTCTGCTTCGACTGGGTTAATGAAGACAGGCATATGCCATGCAGTGTGCTATGAGGGAAATTTTGCCTACTCTTACATCAAATTCCAACTGTCAAGGGTTCTTTTACACGCACACCAAGGTGTACACGGGACCTCAGCTTTCTATCCCATCCAAATGGCTATACATTGTCTCTTGCCTGGCAAATCCTGATGAGACTTCTCAGCCAACACGTACTGGAATCGATCACAGGACCTAAAGGTTAGAGAGCCAACATCTTACTCACTGAGCCACTGTGGCTCCATCCAGAGAATGCCACAAGTTGATTGAAAATAAAGATATACCATACCCGATGAATTCAAGCCGGGAAATAAGACACCTGTGACAATGTCAGGCACCAAATCTCTCGTGCCTGTCATTATTTGTCCGGCACTGATTTGTCTTTTTTATTGATATCATCAATACATGTTCGACACTAAGTTGAAAATGTCAGGTACTATTTCGTTAGTGCCTGACATTTTGTCAGGTACATCTAAAACCGATATTTCCAGGCCTGCCAATGATTTAGAAACATGTTATAATTATTAGAAGTGGATGTATAAAATTCTTTCTGCCAATTAGCGGATGGAATGACATGGGTGAGGTTTTTATATAAAACATTAATTTGACATATGAGATTTCAGCAGGTGTTGCGATATTTATAAATGTATTTGAAAGTATATAAATAATATGACCACCTTCGAGGGTTACCGTTACTTATAGCAGCTTTTGTCGTACTTCTCATCAAATAATCATTTAGCGCACCTGGCTGGGTGCCAGCCCATTAAATATTTCTTTCACCTTATATCAGATATCCACTGCCAATAGGATACATGTTACACAATATTATTGCCCTGCGAATGTTTATTTGTTCGTTAAAATACTTCAATGAAGATAAATCATGGAAAAAAACTACTTTGAAGGTAATAAATAAATAAATACATAACTTTGAAATAAACTAGTGATCGATTACATTCATAGGAACTGGAATACAATTAGGTTTGACCTGGAATGAAATTGGGTTTAACTTCATATTTTTTCTGCACTTAATTGTATTTACAGTGTGCTATGAGAAAAACTTTGCTTCTCTTCATGAACTCTTTTTTTCGTCCCATTCAAACAACTAGATACTGCTCCTTGCCAAGCCCTTGGTTCTGCACCAATGACAAGGGAAAAACGCTCTGGGAAATCCTAAGAGACTTTCTCAGCGAACAACCGGAGTGAACCAAAGACTGAGTGAGCTAACAATGCTTCGTAGGTTATAAAGAACAGCGCAACACTGTGACTCATTGAATATGACTCAATAAATTCACAGTTTGGTCAAAGACTGAGTGAGCTAACAATGCTTCGTAGGTTATAAAGAACAGCGCAACACTGTGACTCATTGAATATGGCTCAATAAATTCACAGTTTGGTCAAAGACTGAGTGAGCTAACAATGCTTCGTAGGTTATAAAGAACAGCGCAACACTGTGACTCATTGAATATGGCTCAATAAATTCACAGTTTGGTCAAAGACTGAGTGAGCTAACAATGCTTCGTAGGTTATAAAGAACAGCGCAACACTGTGACTCATTGAATATGACTCAATAAATTCACAGTTTGGTCACAGTTTGGTCACAGTTTTGGCCAAGATAAGTAAGATGTTAATTCCCATTTCAGATTTCATTTCATTCAGATGAAAACCCATGAGGAAACCCATGAGGTTAGGCAGGCAACCCAACTCCTGGTTAGGGACAAGCCTGGAATTGAAGCCATGACTTCCTTAGAATACACATTTTATGATGTAAAACATGCACCCTATACCATTAAGCCACAGAGAGAGAGAGATAGAGAGAGAGAGAGAGAGAGAGTTTAATGTCCACTCAACACAATCTAAGCCATTTTGGGATTAACATCGTTAAATTTCTATTCAACAATTTGCTTGCAATGGGAGGAAACCTGAGGACCCTGAGCAAACTCATGACCCTACCCCTTATCACATACACGCGGGGAAAAGAAACTATACCACTGAACTCAAAGACAGACCATCACCCCCCCACCCCCACCCATTAAGCCACTGACCCTGATATACTGTCAATATGTTTATTAAATAAAAGATGCATTATGTAAGAGCTAAATCTGCTTATTGTAGGTCTTTTTTCTGGCTTCAAATGTTATATAAATTATAATTTAGACATTTATTAACATGATAAGTCCAAGATAAACTGGATGAGATATTAAGGGCCATATCTTCGTTAAATGTTAAAATTGAAAATCAAGACTTCATTTATTATCGTAGCAATGGTACTTGACAATTGTGACTATTTAGAGTCAAAATCTCAAGCACTCAGTTTTCAATTAATTACTTTTTCATTATGTATTTCTGAACTATCATAGCAAGAACAGTCAGCTCTTTATCTAAATCTTACATAATGCAGGTTTAAAAGAGAGAGAGAGAAATGGGGTTTAACGTCCCCTCGACACAAACTAGGTTATTTCGGGACTAACATATGGTTTAATTTTATTTCAATAATTCGCTTGTGCGTAGGGGTCTTTAGTAGTGGGAGGAAACCGGAGGACCCGGAGAAAACCCACGAGGTTGGACAGGCGACCCTACTCCTTGTCACGTACAACTGGGGATTCAAAACCACACCAGTTGACTCAATGATAGGCCTTATGATACTGCGCGTACCTGCTAACCATTCGGCCATCCAACAACCTGAATTTGATAAAAAAAAGTAGCTGATATCTATTGATGAAACAGGTAGGTACCTTTTCTAAAAAAACATAAAAAATTCATGTAATTTGAACCTCAATACCGAAATAGCAGATGGCCCACAGCGAAATGAAAATACCTGTATTTAGTTTAACATGTTTGACTCGACATCCTAACATGTTCACATCTTATCAAACCATGTTGTTGTTTCTAACTAAACTAATTCTATTTATTTGAACAAGCAGAGATTAAAAATAAACCAACATTTAGAAGATCTATTGGATAACAAACATTTAATACCAGTGTATTGGGGGGAGGGTAACATCATATATAGTAATGATGACTTGGAGGGGAAGAGGGTAACATGCTATATAGTAATGATGTCTTGGAGGGGAGGAGGGGGGGGATAGGGTAACATCCTATATAGTAATGATGACTTGGGGGGGGGGGGGTAACATCCTATATAGTAATGATGACTTGGGGGGGGGGGGGGTAACATCAACATCCTATATAGTAATGATGACGTGGAGGGGAGGAGGGTAACATCCTAAATAGTAATGATGACTAGGGGGGGGGGGGGTAACATGCTCTATAGTAATGATGACTTGGAGGGGGGGAGGGTAACATCCTATATAGTAATGATGACTTGGGGGGGGGGGGGTAACATGCTATATAGTAATGATGTCCTAGAAGTGGAGGGGGTGGGGGTGGGCAATATCTAGTTTTTAACTATTATATTGAGAACTGCCAGCTCTCTATCTAATCTCCCATAATGTATCTTTAATTTTATTGCGACACTGTATAATAAATATATACAAGGAATGCTTGGTAGCTTCAATGAGGGTATCAATGCTTTGAACATAAATGAGGTTATGAACAAATTCATGAGGTAAATGAGGTTATGGAAGTATTTACAGGGTAAATGAGGTTATGGAAGTATTTATGGGGTAAATGAGGTTAGGAAAGTATTTACGAGGTAAATGAGGTTATGAACAAAATCTTGAGGTAAATGAGGTTATGGAAATATTCACAATGTAAATGAGGTTATGAAAATATTCACGATATATACAAGGTTATGAAAGTATTCACAAGGTTGAATAATTATAAACCTTAAGTTTCTTACCTTCTTCAGTTTCTATCTCCTCTTCCTTTGAATCTTTTCGTCGGATTAAACTTCCTTTCTTTGTCTGAAAAGTTTATAGAAAATTTTTATTTTCATTTTAGGAATTCACCAATGATATCATTTGCAGTAAGTGCAGGGCCAACTGCTATTTTTCAGAACAGTTTAAAGACACCTCTAGCACAGTTGAAAGGTACAGAAAGTAGATTTTATATTCTAATAATTAAACACCCTCCAGCGGCAAAGTCATCCATGCTCGCTCTAAAATCATTGTTAAGAATTCTAGTGGAGCAAGTTTTAAAAATGTAAAGGATATGAACTCTATCCCTATTCTAATAATTAAACACCTTCCAGCAGCAAAGTTGTCCATGCTCGCTCTAAAATCATTGTTAACAAATCTAGTGGAGCTAGTTTTAAAAATGTAAAGAATATGAACTCTGTCCCAAGCGTTAACCGTCAAAATATGAATGGAAAAATAACTCAGCAAACTGCATTCAAAAATCCATAGGGTTCTTCCCTATACTTAAATGAACAAGCCCAAAATTTATAAACAGAGAATAACTCTATAATATGTTATCAATCAAAAACTTGATCTAGGTGTATAACAAGGTCATAGGGGCTTGGACAAGGGCCTTACTATCTAAAACCTTATAGCGGCATTAGGTAAGATCAGATCAGGGCCGGCGGAAGCAATTCTTGATTGGGGGGGCTTCCATCCTAGGTCCTTATAAGCGTGGGTCCAGGGGCCGCAATAACCTGGAGAAAAGAGTACTTGCGGCCAAATTATTGGGGGGCTAAAGCCCCCCACTCCGCCGGGCCTGCAGATAAAGAGCTAATAGTTAAAAAAATTGATAATGAAAAGAGAATATTTTGAAAATTTCTGTCCAATTACTACACTCTAAGCTAAGGAATCAGCGATACAATTATAGGCTAGCCACGATTGTCATCAATACCATTGATACAATGTGCCCCGATTGTCATAAATACCGTTGTTATGATAATAAACAAAGTCTCAATTATCGATTTTTATGGTAACCGCAGCCAGAACAAAAAGTATTTGAATCCAGTAAATATCGCAGGTATCCAAAGGCATCGCGAGTTGATTATGGTCTTGGTAGTTAATTAATGTCTAAGTAATAATTTAGATAACATTTCAGGCCTAAAGACAGACCTTCAATAGGCCGATTTAGCTCTTGTGTAATGCATGTTTAAATAATTACCTTATTAATTTTAACGATTATACGAGCTATTGCATACATCACGTTATTCAGTTTAACAAGATAAAACTTTATCTTTTTTAAATATAAATACATTCTGCACAGCCAGCTCCCATTGCGCTATTCTCTTTCACTGGAGCAACAATATACCATTTGGTAACACTTTAATCGCAGGCAACAGTTTATGATTGGATTTAAATATGGTGGATAAATCGTCAAGTGTATGTTTACTCTTTATAAAACACTGGATACTACTTCTAATTTGCGGAGTTCATATAGTAAGCTTACTCTTTCTAGAAGATCTGATACCACTTCTCATTTGATGAGTGCATATACATGTAGTAAGCTTACTCTTTCTAGAACACCTGATACCACTCCTCATTTGGGGAGTTCACATAGTATGTTTACTCTATCTAGAACACTTGACACCACTTCTTATCTGAGGAGTTTATGTCCTAATGAAGGTCTAGGAAAATGAGAGGGGTAGTTCACAAGGTGGGGTATGCTCTTCTGTTCTGGAACACCTGCTTCATTAGGAGGCTCACTTTTCATTTTTCTTTTTATATTCATGTTTAAGTTTCAAGGGTAAAAAAGAAAATAAATAGGTATATCCAAATAACTGATCAAAATTTCCTTTTATCATCCTGCTATAAACACCGGAACATTGTCCTGGATAATCCTGAAAGTTTATAATTATAAACGTATACTAACACCAAAAAACCTTTCTCAGACATATCATCAACATTTCTATACAAAATCAACACCTCAAAAGACAAATCCCATCTTCTATTTTCTTAGAAACATCTGTGAACGCAAGGCTACATTCCCCTGATCAAGTCCACATATTATTTTGTCAATGATCATTGACAAATCCAGTCTACGGTGTCCATACACAAAAAGCTATTTGGAATAGCACAGGATCATTTAAGAAGTCAAAAGTCAATTTCCATCTTCTGTTTTCGTTTAAACAATAAAACATGTATCTTGTCCTCAATTTTGATCAAACAAAATTACATTTGTCGCTATGTATTTATGGACTCTTCGAATTTTAATACCCGTTAATCTGAATGGTTCTATATATTAACATCAACTAATGAAATAATGAAAGGACTTAAGAAGCTGATGAAGGTGATTACAGAGGGCGTGTTATTAGACTTGAAGACCAGAAGCATTTATCTAATTAATTAAATCTGTATGTTGGTTAATGTCACACCTGTACAGGTAAATGTCAAGTCGCTGTAAACTCAAATATTATCAAAAAATAAATCTAATATACCGTTCTCACAGACGAGAACTAAGATTCTCAAAGATAACAAGGTACGTTATATTAACAAGGCAGTATTCTGAGATGCACCGGATATTGTTAAATGCCAAAGGCAGGTCAATCTACTAATTAGAAAGATAGTGCATACAATGCAAAATCCTATAAATGTAGCATAAATAATGTGTTTAAATTTACAAATTTCTACAATAATCTACAATTTTCTATATTAACAAGGCAATATTCTGTGATGTATAAAGAACATTGGATTTATCACTTTCTGCCATAGTAATGAGCATCACATACACCAAAAGATTTTGGAACCATGCCAGCATTAGGGTTTGGAATAGTTATGGAGCAGCACATATACCAAAAGGTATTTGGAATAGCACTGGATCATCAATGACATCAAAAGAGTTTTTGTTATAATTTAAATGTTCTGATTTAAGTTCAATAACCAGAACCCTAAAGCCTAATTGGTGTAAATGTACTCTTAACCATTCTACCAACCTGCCGGGGGGTTGGATGGCTTAGTGGTTAGCACGTGCGCGCTGTATCATTAAGTGTGTCATTGAGTCAACTGGCGTGGTTTCGAATCCCCGGTTGTACGTGACAAGGAGTAGGGTCGCCTGTCCAACCTCGTGGGTTTTCTCCGGGTCCTCCGGTTTTCTCCCACTGCTAAAGACCCCTACGCGCAAGCGAATTATGGAAATAAAATTGAACCATATGTTAGTCCCGAAATGACCTAGTTTGTGTCGAGTGGACGTTAAACCCCATTTCTCTCTCTCTCTCTACCAACCTGCCATCTATGTCATTAATAATATACGATGAACCTATCCCTACATATGGAATCAATTTAGATGCTGGAATCAATCTCATCTGATTTTTTTAAAACAACATTATCTTGAGCAGTACATATTGATCAAAAATAACATGACATACCAAGACCAATGGAAGATAACAATATATATTTGAATAAATACAGTTCGATCAAGGTAATGAAATGAAATGAAATGAAATGGGGTTTAACGTCCTACTGTTTTGCTCCTATGCTGGGCTAATGAAGACGGGCATACGCCATACAGTGTGCTATGAGGGAAATTTTGCCCAGGCAGCGGCACTATCGCCTACTCTTATATCGAATTCCAACTGCCAAGGGATCTTTTACGTGCATTCCAATGTATACACAAGACCTCGGTTTTTCGTCTCATCGGAAGGACTAGACAGCTGTCCTTGTCAGGTCCTCTGTCCTGCATCACTGACAAGGGGGAACCACGCCGGAAAATCTGGATGAACTTTCTCGGCCAATGCAGGGATCGGTTCGATCAAGGGATCTTTTATGTGCACGCCAATGTGTATATGGATCTTGATTTTCAATCCCACCCAAACTACTACACAGTGTCATTGTCAGCCCCTCCCCACCCCCCATCTGCATGTACTACTGACAAGGGGAAACCATGCGAGAAAATCCTGATGAACTTTCACAGCCAACACCGGGATCAAAACAATTTACACAAAAAAAGAGATCAAAGGATCAAACATGGACCACCCAAGGCTTCCAGCTTTGTCCTTAGATCTATGTGTTGAGCTACTCGTTTTGGGGAAATAAAATATAAATAAATTACCAAAGCACGTCCTGCATTTTTATCCATCTGATGATGTTATTTTCAATCGCCAAACTTAATGAAAAATTCACTGGTGCTGTAGGTTTCTCGCTATATAGAAGGTTTGAGTGCACTGTAGATGGCAAATAAGCTTGAAACAACAATCATTCAGACAGCAAAATTTGTGAAAATCCCAACAAAAGAGAGCAGGGCACTTGATATCTGAAAGTGTCAATCTCTCGTGTAATAAACTGGAAGTGAACAAAGATCCAAAACGATTCTTGATGATTGTCGTTGCTTGCTCAATCGCGGAACTGATTCCCCAACTCGCTTAATAATGAAGTCCTAATGGATTAGACTCAACTTAAGTTGAACCAATTTAGATAATTAACTAATAACAGAGTATTATGCCTACGTCAAAATCATTTACGTAATGAAAACAAATATAGATAAACTAAAAATACCCAACAGCACATCAACAAACTATATTGCGGCCTGGGAGGAGAAACAAAAAAGCGAGAAAGAGAGAGAGAGGGAGAGAGAGAGTGAGAGAGAGTGAGAGATAGAGAGAAATGGGGTTTCAGTCCACTCGACACAAACTAGGTCATTTCGGGACTAACATATGGTTTAATTTTATTTCAATAATTCACTTGCACGTAGGGGTCTTTAGCAGTGGGAGGAAACTGGAGGACCCGGAGAAAACCCACGAGGTTGGACAGGTGACCCTACTCCTTATCACTTACAACCGGGGAAACAAAAAAGCGAGATTCCCGAACACTGTGGCTTTAAAACAACCAATGATAGATTGAACTGAATTAAGAATACCAGGATTGCAGCCCAGAGATTATAATGGAACCAAATGAAGAGTTTAACATCCACAGGGTCATTTCAGGACTAACATATGGTTCATTTTTTTATTTCAATAATTTGCTTGTGCATTGTAACATACAAGTGATGAATGGAAATCATGCCATTTCAATTTTTT